TCCGTGGCACCGGCAGATGAGGCAGGCCACCAAAAGGTGGTTTTCTACCTGCTCATCCAGCGCAAGCCCCTCTTTTACGTCATCAACATCATCACCCCCTGTGTGCTCATTTCCTCTGTTGCCATCCTCATCTACTTTCTTCCTGCCAAGGGTACCTGGGCCTGTGGGAGGGCTGCAGCACATAGGCTCATGGGGGAGGCCAGGCCTGATTATGGCACAGGGTAGTGGGCTCCCTGTAGGGTAGGGGAGTTCCTCAGGGGGGTGTGGGTGGGACACGCTCTGAGGGCATCTTGGTCATGGGCAGCGGGCGGCCAGAAGTGCACAGTGGCCATCAACGTGCTCCTGGCCCAGACTGTCTTCCTTTTCCTCGTGGCCAAGAAGGTGCCTGAGACCTCCGAGGCAGTGCCGCTCATCAGCAAGTAAGGCCAGCCTTCACATCTGCTTACAGCCCCCACCACCCACGCAGGGGTGGGACCCATGGCCTTACTAAGCAAGTGTCCTACCAGTGGGCTATATTCTCTTTACCCGCCTTCCCTTCCTGAGGCATTTGTCCTGAGGGGACCTGAGGGAAGCAGGGTGGGTGGTACCTGTGTGTGAGGTGTCTAAGGGACACCCAGCCTCCTGCTTGCCTGACCCTGGACAGGTACCTGACCTTCCTCATGGTGGTGACCATCCTCATCGTCGTGAACTCTGTGGTCGTGCTCAATGTGTCCTTGCGGTCCCCTCACACACACTCCATGGCCCGGGGGGTCCGCAAGGCAAGGCACTTCCCTATTCACTTGGGTGTCCTCTGTCCTTCTCAATCACATGTGACTCCCTCCACATCCCTGTCCCTCCTCCTTAATTCAGCAGCAAATCTATGCCATACATATCTTCAGGCCCAAAGTAGGCACATGATAATGTTAGTGCCCGGGAATATATTACATGTACCAACTTCTTTAACATTCATAAAATCCCTGAAGAGGATATTGGTGTGTCGTCTCCATTAAATAGAGAGGAAACAGAGACCCAAGGAAGTTAAGCACTTACCCAGTATTTCCCAGTTCCCAGAAAGCACAGGATTCTGTCCCAGCTGCCTGTGTGCTCTGCAGCCCACCTGTAGCAGACAGCTGGGAATAGTGTTACAAGAGTAGATTTCCTAGGCACATCATCCCAGTTGCCTAGAGTGTTCTAGCAGGAAGCAGAGGGTAAAAGTCTGTTTGGGGAAGTGTCCTGGTGATTCTGCAGGAAACAAAGGCATAGAGCTCAGGTTCTGTGTCCAGGAGAAAGTAGTCAAGCTCTACCAGGACCCAGTTGCTGCCCCCAAGGCACTTCCTTCATGCCCATCTCCTGCTTGTGTTCCCAAGCTTGGCCTGGCTGCCCAAGCAGGGCCTACCAGAGCAACCCCTCTGCAGGTGTTCCTGAGGCTCCTGCCCCAGCTGTTACGGATGCACGTGCGCCCACTGGCCCCTGCTGCTGTCCAGGATGCCCGGTTGCGGCTCCAGAATGGCTCCTCCTCAGGGTGGCCCAGCACAACTCGGGAGGAAGGGGGCCTCTACCTCCCTCGCAGTGAACTCCTTTTCAGACAGAGGCACCGCAATGGATTGGTGCAGGCAGCACTGGAGAAGCTAGGTGAGGCCCAAGGGGTGCCACTGGGGACAGTTCTGTCTAGTTAATGCAGATGGAGCCGGACATGGCAGGTAAGTGCTGGGCAAGAGTCCAAATTGGAGAGAGGGGCCACGTCTCGGGGGAGAACTCACATCCCTGCTGACTCTCTTCCGCTGACCATTTCCCATCAGAAAATGGTCCTGAAATGAGACAGACCCTGGAGTTCTGTGGCAGCCTGAAGCAAGCCTCCCCAGCCATCCAGGCCTGTGTGGATGCCTGTAACCTCATGGCCCGTGCCCGGCACCAGCAAAGTCACTTTGACAGTGTAAGCTGGGGGGGAGGGGGACAAGTGCTCTAGTGTGATATGGGGACAGGATGAATGGGGTATCCAGCTTAGGTTTGGGGGTGGAAAAAGCAGAGCTGGGAAATGAGGAGTGACCACTGGGGCAGAAACCACGAAAGGAGACAGGTTGGTACCTAGACAGGGGTTAGAGGGCTGAAAAGCAGAGAATGGAGGCCAGACCTAACAGGGACAGAGGGAGCCAGGCTAAATGCTGCCCCTGGTCACACCTCTAGTCCACAATGTGTTTTTGCCCTCAGGGGAATGAGGAGTGGTTCCTGGTGGGCCGAGTGCTGGACCGAGTCTGTTTCCTAGCCATGCTCTCCCTCTTCGTCTGTGGCACTGCCGGCATCTTCCTCATGGCCCACTATAATCGGGTGCCTGACCAGCCATTCCCTGGAGACCCCCGCCCCTACCTGCCTTTGCCAGACTGAGTCAACCAATCATTCCTGGGCCCTGGAGTCAGCTATATGGGCCATGCTGTCTACAGAGCTGTATTCTGTGTTGGGATTTTGAGTGTGCTCTGTGGGGAGCACCCATACATCCCTGGGATGAGAGAGAGAAATAAAGAGACAGAGGGAGTTCTGGAGTGGTTGGTGATGGGCGTGATCATTCATGATTTCGGGACCAGCATCCCCGTGGCAATAGATGGCTCCTACAGACACCAGTCTTCTGTTTCCTACATTCCTGTCACTTCAGTGGGGCATTATTGACTCCAAGTCACTTTGAAGCCCTAAGGACTCTGCTTTCATAATGTCCTTGGCTGGGTAAGGTCTTAGCCTTTGAGGCCTGAGATTATTTCCTCCTGCCTCTTTGTAAGATGCATATTTGTTATTTTTAACTAGATGTTATGCGTGTGTGCTGGGAGTGGGTTGTGTGCACATGAGTGAGGGTGCCAGCACACTAGAGTTATAGGTGGCAGTGAGCAACCAGACGATGGGTGCTTGGAACTGAACTTATATCCTCTACCAAAGCAAGCGTTCTTAACCACTGGGCCATCTCTCGAGCTCCAATACCTTCCCTTTTGTGAATTTTCTCTGGAAGAAGGTTGGTAGGAGATGTGGGAACTCTCTTAAAAGAAGAGAGCCAATGCTGGGGGTAGGGTGGCGCACACCTCTAATCCCAGCACTTGGGAGGCAGAGGCAGGTGGATCTCTGTAAGTGACAGGCCAACCTGGTCTGCAGAGTTTCAGGACAGCCAGGGCTGTTACACAGAGAAACCCCGTCTCGAACCCTACCGACCCCATCCCACCCCCGAAAACAAGAGAACCAGCGTGGTGGTGTCCCGCGCTACCGTCTCGCCAGCAAGAACGACGCGGCACACTCAGGATCCTTCTGCAGTAAAGCTTTAATGCATCTTGAGAGGGAGAGCATAAGCTTACAGAGCGGAGACCCCAAACATCCAAAACCCAACCCTTATATAGGTTTACAACCTTCGCCTTGGACGTGTCACCTCCTGATTGGCTGTAGCCCATCGGCCTATATGACGCCACGGGAGAGGCAGAGGCCAAGGGAGGGAAAATTACCCTGCACCTATGCACTGATTTGTTTACTCTCCACGCCAGCCGGATGCAGGCGCCATCTTGTAATGGAGAATGCCGGGACGGCTCCCTACATGGTGGGGCACACCTTCACTCCTAAACACGAGGGAGGCAGAGAGAGCCAAGCTCTGTGAGGAACACTGGATATTTTCCCAGGGGATCTGGGTTCCATTTCCAGCACCCACATAGTCGCTCATAACCACCTGTAACTCCAGTTCTAAAGGATCAGACACCCTCTTCTGACTTCTGCAAAACATACATGGGCATGGTGCATAGACATATGTGCAGGCAAACACCCATATACATAAAATGAAAATAAACCTTAAAAAAAAAAGTACTAGGAGCTAGGGGTGTGGAATATAAGTGTGGAGTCTTGGCTTTTTGAACTAAAACAGTATAGCCCATTTTAGCTCCCTGTACCACAGCCTCAAACACACACCTTCAGAGGTAACTTCCCATTCATTTGCTGTAATACCCCCCCCCCCGCATTGATCACAAAAGGTTAAGTTTTATCATCTTTTTCCATCGTTAGAAATTCTTCACACTATGGACAGGCAAGGCATTCATCTGACCCACATTTCACATGAGCAGGTTGGGGTCCAGAATAAGGGGAACTCTCTAGAACACTCCTTTAGGGTTCAAATTCCCATCTCTGACCCATCTCAGACACTATAAGGAAGATTCCAACCTTGCAAACGCAGTTTTTGCCTCTCTTCTCAAAAGCCAGGGCACTTGGAGGACTAAGACTGGTCTGGGTCTGACAGGAGAGCTCCCTCAACTTCCCTTGTACAATGTTAACAGGAATAGGATGATCCCTTGAGATCTAACTGGGGAGAAAAAACAAAAACAAAAACAGGGCCTTGCTGAGTGACCAGGGGCAACAGTGGGTCAGGCCAGGGAGACTGTCTCACCTGTAAACAAAGGCATAAACATCAATTTCTGCCTCTCCTCACTTCTAACAATGGGACGTGTTCAGCAGCATGCACCGCTGGTGGCTTTGGAGACCAATTACCAACCAGGGGATTTTTATTTACTCCTGTGATGTGTTTGGCACAGTCGTTAGGAGCGTGGGGGCAAAGACTGAGGGAGCAATTCGATAAGTGAGACCATTTGGGTTCTCGGTAAATTTCCTTTAGGTGTGTCACCCTAGCGGGGAGGGTCTCATGTATCCCAAGCTGCCTCAAACTCTGTTGGTCAGGCTGGTCTGGATCTTCCTGCCTCCACTTCCCAAGAGCCAGGATAACGAAGTTGTGGAGTAGTTTCTCGTCCTCCACAACACCGAGGACAAAGGATCCGCTCTCAGAGATGAACACTTGCTACCATTTACTAGGTGTCACTGTGCTGACATTTCCCCTGGAACCCACGGGGAGGTTAAAGCAGATGGCCGACTACGACAGCGCACGATGCCTCATGAAGGCGACCGAGAGCAGGCGGGCCTGGCCAACCCGGGCCGCGACAGGCGCCGGGACCGGGTGGCCCGTCAGGGAAAGAAGCCCCGCATCCGGCCTCGGCGCCAACGTTCCGCTAAGCGTCTCGCCAACCGGAAGTGGCCGGACTCTTGCCGGAGGGACCGAGCAGAGCGGAAGTCACTCCGTGAGGCAGTGGCGACAGCGGCGGCGAGAGGATGAACAACAAGTTCGACGCGTGAGTGGCGCGTGGCCGCCCCCGGGGCCCCTTCCCCCAACCGTCCCCCGGGACCGCTCCCGCCGGGGCCGGGCGCGCACTCAGCCGAGCCGCTCGCTCCCGGGCCGCCGCGGCCCGAGCCTCCCTACGCCCGCGGGCCCGACAGGGCCGGGAGAGCGCGGCCGAGGTCGCCGGGACCCCTGAGCCGCCGGACCCCGGCGGGGCGCGGGCCGGGGGAGGGGAGGCCGCACCGCCCGGAAGGAGATTTTCGGACGCCCCGCCCTGGTGGGTGCGGGCTGCCGGCGGCGTGGAGGGGCGGGACCTCGGCGCTTCGGGTGTTTCCGCAGCCCTGCTCCCTTCTTTCTGAAGCGGCTTCCCTCCCGCACTCGCTCTGCGTCCTGGGAAGGTCACCTCTCCCTTCTGAACCTCGGTTTGGTCTTCTGCAAGCGGGGACGGTAACAGAGCCCGTGTCGTAGCGTTGGGCAGCTGCGATGAGGTAATGGGGCAGCCGCGCTGGATACTGTGGCCTCTTGAGTACAGAATGCTTTTCATCTGAGATTCTTCCTGCTTCCTTCCCATCCCCTCCCCACCCCCTCCCCAGTTCCTGTCTTCCAACACTTAGTGGCTGCCCACTTCTGCATTCGTTTCAAGTACCCACTCTCATCCCTAATTCCCGAATCAGACATTTAGGAAGTACAGGCAAGAAATATAAAGGTGTTGCGGGGGGGGGGCGGGGTGCTGCTTCCCCTTTAACGATTATACCTTTTTGCATTTAAAAGTAATTTTCATTTTAACAGCACTTAAAGGATTGCATCTTTTGGTAGTGCTCCTTTTTGTAGTGCGCCCTCCTCTCTCTTGTTTATAGTAATCTAATCTGACATCTCTTTCATTTCAAAGACTACATCTTTTTAGTTTTAGGCCCACCAAATGTTTGCCAGTATGAAAGCTCTTCAGTATGAACTATTGCTCCGACCTCCCTAATGGTTAGAACACGCCTGGAAGGATCAGAGCACGCTCTACAGTGCTTACAGGAACTTGTGTAAAATGCTGATAAGGAGGTAGTGGGGAGGGTAGGATGGAACCACCAATAGGTGGTGGAGCTGCAGTCTTTCTGATGTGTGTACTCAGGAAGTACTGGGATTCCAGCAGTCGAGGCAGCTCTTAGCAGGTTTTCTTGATGGCCAAGTGAAAAAAGCAGAAGCCTTCCCCGTCTTGCTGCTTTGCTTAGCGCTGCAGGATTGCAGCCCCTTTGGCCTCCCATCCTAAGCCCTGCAGTACCTAGCTCCAGATCGACAGCCCCTCTACACTTCCTCTCCTTGAGCAAATCAAACTGAGTCCCAAGAAGATAGTTTTAGGTCATCTGTCCCGAATAAAGGTAGTTATCATGACCACTGTCTTAGACACTGTTCTGTTGCTATGAAGAGGCACCATCCAAGATAACTCTTATGGCTTGTTTTCCACCAACAAGGCCACACCTCCTCCTAATCCTTGTAATCCTTTCAAAAAGTTCCACTCCACAATGACAAAGCATTCAAATATGTGAGCCTGTGGGGCCATTCCCATTCCAACCTGCCCAGCTACCCACAGGCATCTCGAGGTACTTCTTTTTTAGATTAGCATAAATTTAGCAGGGTCTGGTATGACACCTTCATACCGTATGATTACTTCATTCTCATTCTTTCCCCCACTGTAGGGCCCCAGGGTCCCTTTCCTCTGATTCCCTTCTAGTTGGTTCCCCCTTCTGCTTTCCTATTATATGTATCACATTGCCCTCTCTTTCCCACTGTCTTCTTTATAACTCTGCAAAAGAGATCTTTATGTCTTTTCTGACAGGTAAGGGAAATGAGGCTCTTCAAGGCTAAGTAACTAGTGCAAGATAGTCTAAAGAGCCAGCTCAGGTTTGCTCCTCAGCTTTGTTCATGAGTGTCTTTATCAACATTTTGTTGGGTGGTTTTAATTACTTGTAACTATTAGCTGTTGTAATGAGTACGGTCTTTTAATGCCTGCCTTCTAACTTTGCAGAAAAAAACAAAATAAGAGTTTGGTTTCATTTGAAATTAGCAACTAAAGATGATACCCTTGCCCCTAGTTTTGGTTTTATCATTTCAGGTTTTCATTTGAAAAGCCTGCAGTTTGTAGACTATTGTTCCATATTTTAAAGTCTGCATTCTTCATCACATGTCCCTGAAATTTTCTAGAGTCATTCTCAAAGTGCAGTCTCCAGTGAGTGCAGTAGTGGGATCTGATGGACACAGATTAATGAGGAGCTCTGACCTTTAATATCTGGGCTCTGCTTCTGTCGAGAGTAACCAAAGCTGGTAGTGGCTTTAAAGTGTGCTCATTAGACTCTCCAATTTGCTAAGTCTAGTTGCCTTTCTTGTTATTAACATGTAAAATCCTAAAATGTTCTCTCAAGAACTACAGTACCAACTGTGGTAAACTCGGTTTTTAGATCCTGCATTTTTGGAGACCAGGATTGATCTGGTCTGTTTTATATGGTCCCTTTCTATCGTAAGCTTTTGGCCCATTCTTAAGTTTCTGAACCACCTACTCTGATATAATTTTGATATTGAAGATCCATTAATTAACCATGTTTGTATGTAACGCTAGAGATCCAATGGAGAATTAGATCAAGTCCCTACCTGCACAGAATTAGCCTAGTTCAGAAGGTATTGGGAAATGCCTGGACAGAAGCTTGGAGATTTAACACAAGTGTCACTTAGACTGGACATAAATTGGGCAGCTTGAGTCTGGAGTGGCTGCTCTTTCCCTGTGACTGTACCTTGGCTCAAGTCCACCTGCAAGCCTGGAAGAGCAGCTTCTGAAAAGTAGGTTGTAAAACTTTTGCCGTAGGTGTAGGTGCAGAGAGCAGGTTATTTAGTCAACTTCTCCTTCAAGAAATAAACGCAGGTAGGGCATAGTGGCATACACCCTTGAGCCCAGCACTCAGAGGCCGAAGCAGGTGTATTTCTAAGTTCTGGGATAGCCTGGTATACAGAGTGAGTTGGAGGATAGCTGTGACTACATAGAGAGAAAGAAAGGAAAGCACTGGAGCTGCTCTATCTGTCGTGGTAGAACCCTTCCTCCCATGAAAGGTGCTGGGTTCTACTAGCATCATCAACCAAAACTGAAACAAAGACCAGAGCACGAGTTCCCGTTTGCTGAATTAGTACAAGATGGCTTTAAACTGATAATGGCATTACTTTTTTTTTTTCTCTCTCTCTCTGCCTTAATTAATTGTTGTTGTTTCCTAGTAGTGACTGAAGGAAAACCACTAAAAAGGAAAGGACCATAACATTTTTCTTGGGTCTGGTAAAATGGAAGATTCTAGATGACTATCTTTCTTCAACTAAAACCTAATGAAGGGACCTCAGAGGCTATATAGTAGGGATTAGGAACTGAAAAGAAAACAAAAGGGCATTTATCCCTAGGGTGTGCCCACAAAAGGGTAGAAAAATCCATGAGATGTTCTTGATCAGAAGATAAAAACGTTGGCCTTGACATTACAGCTAGTACGAATATAGATGTTAAGAGCAGAAGAGGGGAATTTGATTTAACTGTATTGGGAGAGAGTAGGGAAGGTTTCCAAGAGAAAGTGAATCCTGAGGAGCAGTAAACCAGGGGTGAAGGCATGCCTACATGCTGAACATGGTATGAGTGGGCAGAGATTAGGGAACTGTACTTAGGTGGACACAGCAGGAGAGGAAGAGGTTCATTGGGAACAGGCAGGAGATGCTTTGGGACATGGAAACAAAAAGGGCCATTGCACTAAGTTAAAGTCTTTGTATACCTTATCTCCACAGTTCTTTGAGGATAGGCACTCTGGTAGCTAGTAAAATACTTGGTGAATGTTGGTCATTTTAACCTATGGAGCTTGTGTCCAAATCAGGCCCATTTTGAAAAGGGAGCTAAACAATACATTCATTACTAAAGATTGGCAGGAAGCTTTATAAGCACTGATAATGCAGATGTGATATACCAGACAGATGGCAGCCTCACCACACTTCTCAGCTATACTAATGAGTTCTGTTCTCCCTTCTCTCTCTGAACTGACTGTCCCTTCTTTTGTTGAGTCTTGATTCTTTCATGAACCCTATAGTTGCTCCCTCCAGCTTCTGAATCCTTGGTCATTGCTTTCCCTGATGAAACCAATGAAGAGAGGAATCTGTATTTTAAAGAAGGTTTTGGGGCATAGGTTATTAGGCAGATGGGACTGCCCTTTGCTCCTATGTCTTACCTAGTTGGATCTTGATCAGGTTGGGAATGGGAGGTCTTTATCACAGGGAACGGCCACTTGATTATCTCCTACAATATGGCTGCCACATGGACAGAGCAGGCATCCTAACATATGACTAGTTCATCCATCCTATTGTTTATAGGTGCATTTATGCATTAAGAATTTGTAGATTAAAAAAAAAAAACCACCACCACCACCACCCCCAAAAAAAGCACCACTTTCTAAATGCACAATGCTCTAAACCATGTTTGTGTGTCTGAGTTATAAAAGATGTTTCTGGCACCTGTCTAGAAAATGTCTGATTCTGTTAGTGTATCATATTGTCATAGAGCCCAAAAGATGATTCCAGAGAAAACCTATGGTCTAGTTCTAGCATGGATGTGGGTGGGTGTGTGGGTGTGATGTTTTTGTTTTTGAGACTGGGTTTCCTGTCCTGGAATGCTCCTTGTAGTCTAGGCTGGCCTTGAACTCGAAGATCTGCTGACTCTTCAGTGGTGTGACACTACCGCCCAGCTATGAATTCTATTCTTTCTCCCTCACTTTTTTTTAAGTACCTGTATAGAGGTCAGCTTAGTAAGAGTAGGTACTTGTTTCACTATGTAGGCTATGGGGATTGAACTCAGGTCTGCAGGCTTGGCTGTGAGTGCCCTTACCCACTGAGCCATCATGCCAGATTGAGCAAATGACACTCTTATCTTTGTGCACTAACCTGTTTGTTTTTGTCTGCATCTGGTGAGTCTTAGATAGTTTCATAATTGACTCTGCTAATGAGACAAGAGAACACATCCATTCCTCCTTGTATTTTTTCTTTTCATTTAACCTTTATTCAGTGTGTTCTTGTTTTTGTTTTTGGGTTTTTTTTTGTTTGTTTGTTTGTTTGTTTTAAGATTTATTTATTATGTATAAAGTGTTCTGCCTACAGGGCAGAAGAGGGCACCAGATTGAATTACAGATGGCTGTGAGCCACTGTGTGGTTGCTGGGAATTGAACTCAGGACCTCTGGAAGAGCAGCCAATGCTCCTAACCATCTCTCCAGCCTCGTCTTGTTTTGAGTGCCAGAGATACTGAGTGTATGATACTGGTGTGTGATACTGCTCTGAAGAAACCCTCTAACTCAGGCTGGAGAGATGGCTCAGTGGTTAAGAACACCAGCTGCTCTTCCAGGGTTCCTGAGTTCAATTCCCAGCAATCACATGGTGGCTCACAATCATCTGCAATGGAATCTGATACTCTCTTCTGGTATGCATGAAGACAGAGCATTCATGTACATAAAATATATAAATAAATAAAGCTTTAGAAAACCTCTGACTTGAGGAAGAAAGAGGCAGGGAGGCATGGCACTTTGGGTTGATGGCTAGGTGTCTGCCAGAGGAAAGAGGTGCTAGGGAGGAGAGGAGTATGGGCAGGATTCAACTTCTAAAAGTCTTCTGAAAAACATTTGGTGTTGTTCTAGAGGATAAGTAATAAGGAAGCTGACACTTGATAGTCTTAAGAATACAGGTTAAATAACAGATTTACATTTAGGAAAATGTAGAGTGTGGATGGAGAAGAGAGATTTAGAGAATGATAATGAATTAGATGACTAAAGAAGAAAGTTGACCTAAGGTACAGAGGGAGGACAGCTAGGAGAGGTGAGAAGGGGAGGAAGTAGCAATATATATAGATGGGCAAGTTTTTAACTTTCAGATGTCAAAGGAATTATTTGCCCAGAAAGTCTCATTACTGGCTTGTTTTTGACAACAAAACCATGCTTTTAACTGCTTTGTTGTGCTGGTGATGGGAAATTAAAAGGCTGATGGCTGGAGGTCACAGGTTATCTAATTTAATAGTAGCTATTACTTAGTTCTTGTTTGATTTCTGTTTTGCCCTTTTCACAGTTACATCTCATAGGCCTGTGGTTTGAGCAACTTCGGGCTAGTTACATGGTAGTCCTGTGACCTTATAGTTTTGTTAGGTAGCAAGAATAGTTTAGTCATGGAATGACATTATTTTGCTTTTCTGCTTAGCTTAAAAGATGATGACAGTGGAGACCACGATCAGAATGAAGAAAACAGCACACAGAAAGATGGTGAGAAGGAAAAAACAGAACGAGACAAGAGCCAGAGCAGCAGCAAAAGGAAGGTATGTTTTGGGTTATAATCTGGGTGCAGTTACCTTTGGATGCATGCCTTGGTTGTCTCATGGAGTCGGTTTCTCTGAAGATAGCAGGTTAACTTGATGGTAGGGACTCTTGGCGTCTCTGATTTGTTCTAAAAACAAAAGGTTGCGGGGCTGGAAAGACTTCTTCCCTCCACGTGCTCTCGTGCACACACTCATGAACACATACACATACAGAAACACCAAAAGATTGTGAGACTAGGGCTTTGTGGGAGAGTATCAGGCTTTGGGTTCAATCCCTAGCACTGAAAAAAGGGAGAGAGGTATGGAGTGGGAGGAAGAAGGGGAAAAGGAGTACATGGGTCACTGGATGCGATCAAAGCCTGGTGGATATATGTATGGGAATGTCACAGTGAAATGCTTAGATTCATTTATGATGACACGTTTTTCAAAATAGTGGAATGACTAGAGATCATTTTAGAACTCAGTACTTCCTCTTGTTATGAGGTCTTGGGGTACTGCTGTGGTTTACAATATCCTTATGTGTGATGGAGTCAGGGTTCTTAACTGGGATTTCTTTAAAGTTTGCTCAGTAATTCAATCCTACACATTGCTATTTTAGACTCTTCACTATCCCAAAAGTAGCTTGGGATAGAAAGAATTTAGAGAATGAAGGATAACTGGGTCAAATTTTTCAATATTCCAGTCCTATTTATTTGGTAATCCTGAATGCCTGCCGATAATAAGCATTTACTTCTAGGTGGTAAGAGTCACAAAGGTTTAAGTGGTGGTGGCATATGCTTTTAATCCCAGTGCTCAGGAGGCAGAGACCAGCAGATCTCTGAGTTTGAGGCCAGCCAGGGCTACACAGAGAAACCCTGTCTTGAAAAGCTCAAAAGAAAAGAAAAGAAAAAGAAAGGACAGGAGGTGGTAACACATAGCTTTATTCCCAGCAAAGACAGGCAGATGTCTGAGTTCAAGGCCAGCCTGGTCTACAGAGTAGGTTCCAGGATAGCCATGACTATTACACAGAGAAACCCTGTCTTGGGGGTGTCAGGGGTAGAGATTCACAAGGGCGAGAGAGCCTGTGATTTGATTAGCTTATGTTCATTGAGCACTTGCTATGTCAGGCAATGCCCAAGCACTCTAAGCTTTCTAGTTCATTTGTTCTTCACAGTGACCCTTTGGGGTGGTTATTGTTATCTCCACCTTGCAATAGGGAGCTAAGGCACTATCAAGTTTAAGGGACCTGCCAATCTTTAGTAATGAATGTTGAGGAGGCAGACCTTGGAGTATGCATATGTTGAGATAATGAATGCCCATGGTGGTATAAGAAAGGCAGAAAGTTGTGTTACAGCAATGTAGAGTCATCTAACCACTAAAGAATATACTATGTGAGCAGACTCCAGCACATTGCAAGTAATTGAGATTAGGGTATTATTTTCATTTGTGGAGGTGGGAAGGGAACTATACTTTTTTTGTTCGCTTTTCAAAACAGGGTTTCTTTGTGTAGCCCTGGCTGGTCAGGAACTCAATCTATCAGCCAAGGTGGCCTCAAACTCACAGATCTGTCTGCCTCTGCCTCCCAGTGCTGAAATTAAAGATTTGTGCCACCATTCCTAGTAGGTGTGACGCTGGGAAATGTTTATTAGGGATCAAGAGAGATGGCTCATCAGGCACAAGCCTGATGATCTGAGTTCAGCCCCCGGATCTCACAGTGGTAAGGAAGGGACCAACCCTGAAAGTTGTCCTCTGACCTCCACACACACACCATGGCATGCATAATCCCACATTCTGTCTTTCATACATATACATGATAATAACAATCACAATTTTAAAAACAAGGTGTTGAAGAGATGACTTAGTAGTTAAGAGCACTTGCTGTTCTTACCAGACTTTGGTTCTCAGCACCCATGTCGGATAGTTATAAGCCGCCTTCTGGCCTCACGAGCACCCACATTGCATGCATATGTGTACACACAAATAAAAAAAATGAAAGTAAATCTTATAAAAAAGACAATACACTAAATATTTGGATTTACATCATTGTGACAAATGCCATGAACTAACTTAACCTTCTATACTTCCCAGGCTGTTGTCCCTGGACCAGCAGAACATCCCCTGCAGTACAACTACACCTTTTGGTACTCTAGGAGAACCCCTGGCCGTCCTACCAGTTCACAGAGCTATGAGCAGAACATCAAGCAGATTGGCACCTTTGCCTCTGTGAGTACTTAATCTGGTGGGATATTCCTTGGCACATACTCATACCTTCATTTCTTTCTATAGTTGTGTCTGCCTTCCTAGTAACATGCTAACATTCTGGTTTCCTTATTTAAATGGTTTGCACTCCCACGGTCGTGTTTGTTCAATTCTTAGATTTATCATTAGACATCCATAGGTAACATTTAGGTAATCTAAGTATGGGAAGGTAGCTTTAATCAGAAAGGCATAATACAAAAATAAAAAGAGTTTTGGTTTGAGGTTTCTTATTTTTGCAGGTATTTATTGAGTCTTTATATATAAGGGTCATAAGAGAGACAGATTTGCTATGTATGATATCTGTCCTCATGAAATTGGATTCTGACAATTCAGAGTGCTCAGGCTCCTCTTCACCACAGCCCATCCTTACCCTCCCTCCTGGCTCTGTGCTACATTTGTAAATTCGGATACCCTGACTATATACAGCTAACACCAGTGTGTCTTGTGCAACAGAGGTGTTCCTGCACTCTCAGGCTGTGTGCAGAATCAGTTTTCTAAGAGTGGGTCTTGCTGGGCAACCCAGCTGGCCTGGAGCTTGCCACAGTCCTATCTCAGGTGCTGGGATTACAGATGTGAGCCACCACACCCAGTTTATCCATTTATTTCTAACACAGAAGCCATCAGAGAAGTTTTGATTATTGCCTGTGTGGGAATGTTAGACTAGTTTCCAAGTACAGTGGCAGCCACTATGTTAGGAAGACGTTTTCATTCAGGGTTCCATTGAGTTACTTTGGAATAACTGTGCATTTTTAATTCCTATATAGAAAAAATGTAAAAAAAGAAAGAAAGAAAAGAAAAGAAAAAAGAAAGAAATGTGAGTTTACACCAAAGAAACCAAGGGATTTTATGTTTTGCTTTCTTTGCGTTGTGGCATTAAAAGGTTTGCCATCAACACTGTCAGTATTCACTAGACAAGTGATAGAGCCTGAAGTCTGCTGTCATAATCCACAACATTAAGAAATAGCCTATGACTAGATGGTGGTAGTGCATGCCTTCAGTCCCAGCACTCAGGAGGTGGAGGCAGTAGGATCTCTGGTTTTTCAATGTACAGAGTAATTTCCAGAACAGCCCTACACAGAGAAACCCTATTTCATTGAAAAATCTAAAAGAAAGAGTCTGTGATACTAAATCCCTCCCAGAGAAGTAATGATAGCATCAATCCTTTTTCAAATCCAAAACAATAGTTCTAGTGTTTTGTTTTTTACGTTTCTTTTAAGATTTTTTTTAAAAGTTTCATTTATGTATATGTGTATATATGCACACATGCTTGTGGTCACCCTCAGAAGACGGCATTGGATTCCCTGTAACTGGAGTTACAGCTGATGTGAGCCTCCTGTTGTAGGTGCTGGGGATCAAACAGTTGTCTGGAAGTACAGCAAATACCCTTAGCCACTGAGTCATCTCTCCAGCCCAAAAGATGTCTTTTCAAAAGCTCCACTTGAAGCCAAAAGTACTATTCACTGCTCAGAATAGAGGCTGAGAAAGGACCTATAAGAGCCATTGCAGGTCCTTTTCTCATACATTTGAGAAGGTGGAGTCTGCCTAGCACAGCCAGGGACCAGCACAAGTTGTTATTTTTTGTTTTGAGACAGGGTGTTGCTAGACCTTAGTCTGACTTGGAATTTGTGAATCTCTTGCCTCATCTGGGAAATGGCACCTGTAAGCCACAGCCTCTCACTAGAATGCTGCTTTTGCAGAGGACCCACTGCACCCATATCAGGTAGCTCACAATTGTCTGTAATGCCAGCTCCCAGGAATTCTTGAATTTGGCCTTGTGGACATGTACACACACACACACACACACACACACACACACACACACACACACACCTTTAAAAAGCAGACATCTTTCACAGTTTAATGCTATTTTTGTTATTTTAATTATGGTGGGGGGTGCACATGAATGCAAGGGACCACAGAGTTCAGAGGTGTCAGATTCCCCTGGATCTGATGTACTAAGCAGTTGTAAGTCACTTGATGTGAGTGCTTGGAATCAAACTCAGCTTCTTAGGAAGGTCAATATGTGCTTTTAACCACTGAGATCTCTCTCCAGCCCCTTAATGCTATTTCTTAAGGCGTTTACTTTACCTCACTTGTGGTTTGAATACAAATTTGTATATTTTGCCTGTAAGATCTGGAGACCTAACCATCAAATGATTCTTGCCTATGGAATTAGTATATTTTGTCCCCACCATATTCTTCCATTCCTAGTTCACAGTAAGCCTTGGTTCTCATGAGCTTAGTTTTTTCAGTTGTTATGGTGGGTAAAAGTTTAGATTACTGCACACTGTATATATGACCACTTAATATTCCAAATTACTTATGTACAGATAGGCCTAGCACAGATGAGGTGTTGCATTAAATCCTATTGATAGTATTAGTTTCTGACTTTGAAATAAGTCAGAATAATAAGATGTTTCACATGTTCTGTTCTGAGGCAGCTCGAGAGAGAACAACTATTTCATGCGATAGGAGGTCAGTTTCTCTTACTATCTAGATTTCACAGAGGCCTGAATCTCTGCCAGTACCTGTTCCTGCTACAGTTTTGTTGAGTGTGGTATTGACAGTTAACCAGTAGTTGGCTCCTGTTCCATGTCTCCACTTCTTCAAGTGCTTCCTTACTGCTCATGCCTACAGGTGTGCTCTATAGATCACAGGGACCAGAGAGTGAGAGAGACAGAGAGAGAGAATGTGTGTGTGGAGAGAAAGAGAGAGAGAGCACCTGCTAAGTGTCTACAAAAGAGGACATCAGATCCCCTGGTGTTGTATTTATAGGCAGTTGTGAGCCACCCAGCCTGGGTGCTGGGAACCGAACTCAGGTCCTTTGAGAAGAGCAGCAGAGCCTCTTAACCACCCACTGAGTGTCTGGATTTCCAGCCCTTTGTTTTTGGGGCAGCGGCTCACTCTGTAGCTCCATCTGTATGGTCCCAATCCCCTAGCTCCTGAATACTGGAATTAAAAGTGTATAAACACATTTGAAAGAAAGGTAGAGATCTAAGATGTTTTCTTCAGAAATTTAAGGTAAGTCAAAGAGACACATAATCTTTCCAGCTGAGAGGAGAAACCCCAGCCCTAGGTCAACCTGGGCTGCAGTGACTCTGTTTAAATAAAGAGAAAAAAGTTATATTTGGCTCTATGAGTATATGGAGGTACAGCCCTGTGGTATCTGATATACCTCAGACAGAAGTTTTCGGGTGTGCAAAAAGCTGGTGCTGACACTGCATGCTGGGAAGAGATGTGTGTCAGTGTGGCTTGTTTTGCTGTCTTGAAGCTTCTGCCTAAGGCCAGGTTTTTGTTTTAGATTGCAGTTTTATTTTATCTGTATTAGTGTTTGGCTGAATGGGTATCTGAACCACATGTTGCAGTGCTCAAAGAAGTCTGAAGAGGTTATTGAATCCCCTGAAACTTTGAATCTGGAAGGTCAACCAATGTACTTGACCCTGAGCCAGCTCTCCAGCCCCAGAGTTTATCCTTGTATTCCAAATGTTGTCTGTTAGGGTTTTGCTTTGCTTTTGCTTTTGTTTTTTTCCTTTGATTAAACTATATTTGCCAGGCATAGTAGTGCATACTTATTATAAGAAACCTTGTCTCAAACCAAATAAAAGACTTTTTCCAATATGCTCTTCTTTCTACAATGCTCCAAATGAAATGTGTACTCAAAGAAGATAGCTCAGGCAGGGTGTCTCTCATATTTCTGTTCTCAGTAACACAGCTTTATGTGCATTCAAAGAAGAGATAAAATTTTTGTACTCTTGGCTCTTCTTTCTGCAGGTGGAGCAGTTCTGGAAGTTTTACAGCCACATGGTCCGTCCTGGGGACCTGACAGGCCACAGTGATTTCCATCTCTTCAAAGAAGGGATTAAACCTATGTGGGAGGTGAGGACTTACGCCTCTGGCGTAAGAGCAGATTTGTTTCTCTTCTTTCTTTTTCTTTTTTTAAATTTAAGCTCTATCAAGATTAAAACAGTTTTGAAGTTTCTTTCAAAGCTGTAACACTATTTGATAAATCTTGGGAGTCTTGCACGTCTGGGAAAAGGCATCAGTTGCATATATTCATAGGTGTGGCTGCAGGGTGACTTTAAAGATGGTGCTGTTTTAGTTACTGTTGTGTCCCTGTAAGAGACATCATGACCAAAACAAATATTATAAGACAAAGCATTTAGTTGGGGCTTGCTTAGAGTTTCAGAGGTTTAGTCCATTATCATGGTGGGGAGCATGGTGGCATATAGACAGGCACTGGAACAGTAGCTGAGTATCCTGATCCATAGACAGAGAGAGATTCTGGACTTGGCATGGGCTTTTGAAATCCCAGCATCCCACCACCACCACCTCTGCAACACATTTACTCTAACAAAGCCACGTTTCTTAATCCTTCTAATCTTTTCAAATAGTGCTACTTCCCTGCTAACTATGAATTCAAATAAGCCTTTGGGGGCCATTCTTACTCAAGCCATCATAGGTGCTGTCACTTAAAATGGTGTTATTATAGGAGTAAAAATGTAATGCATTTGCTTAGTAGATAGAGAATAAAGAGGTAAGAAAAATGATTACAAGTGACAGGACAGCCAGAGGTAAGCTCTGTGATCTCTTTGCAGAGTTGTTACTTAACTGCACTTTTGTGCAGTACATGCTCCAGTGCCAAAAAAAAAAAAATGTTGTAGAAGATGTTAAAATCTTCCCATCCTTTGTTCATGTATCCCTGACTCCAGGTAGACATTTTCCTCCCAGTGTCCTCAGCACCCTTCGCCTACTTTACATGTCAAGACCAGCAAGTGTGTTTCCTCCGAGATTTCTAGCCATGTGCTCTCTCACCATCTGTGTGCACTGTTACAGTGTACGCATTAGACTGGCTGTAATTAATTTGTTGTCTGAGTTAGAGCTGAGCTTCTGTCTGTGTACTTGCTACTTAGTGACAGTCAGCTTTTTGCAAATGGTGATTATGGTCTGTGTTTGAAATGTGACTTTATTTCCTTTTGATTCCTAAAATAGTTATTGTAAAAGTGGATTCTTCTTGAAAAATCTATTTCGTGTTTTTAAGAAAATGATGTAGATCAAGAATGCTTGCCTTTTTTTCTTTTTGCTTTTTTTCCCTCCTATTTCTATCTCAGTAACATTGAAATAACTGTTGAACTAGAGAGTGGCCAGACTTCCTGGTCTTGAGGGGTGTTCCTTTGGTTTTCAGAGATGACACTGTGGACTAGAATTTCACCTTGATGCTTTCTGTCTTTCTCTAGGATGATGCAAATAAAAATGGTGGCAAGTGGATCATTCGACTCCGGAAGGGCTTAGCGTCCCGCTGTTGGGAGAATCTCATCCTGGCTATGCTGGGGGAGCAGTTCATGGTTGGGGAGGAGATCTGTGGGGCTGTGGTCTCTGTCCGATTTCAGGTAAGTCAGCCGCTGCTGTGTTGCTGCTGATGCTCTCACTGCTGCCTCTGGTTGGTTTGATGATCCACTCTGTTCCTCCCTCAGGAGGACATTATTTCTATATGGAATAAGACTGCCAGTGACCAAGCAACCACAGCCCGAATCCGGGATACTCTTCGGCGCGTGCTTAACCTACCTCCCAACACCATTATGGAATACAAAACTCACACCGACAGCATCAAGTACGTGTTGGGGGGTCTGGGGGGGTCAGGTCCCTGAGCTTAGCAGAAACAGCTCCATAGTTGGGCCCAGACACGTGGTCATACATGACCCTGACTGGTGGAGTAGGAACACAGCAGTCCCCAGGGCTTTGGCCACTTGCTGAAATTCTTGTTGGTGAGGACCTGCTGTGAGGTGGTGTGCAGCAGAGAGCCCTTCTTCAGGATCCCAGTTTTCCTGCCTCTGCTGGCTTCAGTATTACAGGCTGTCTTGTCTTTCCTCTGCTAACCACTACTTTAAAGTGAAAGACAGAACTCTTTCAGTGGTTTTTTTCATGGCTGTTTTTAAAGACAATTTCATTGAATAATAAAATCCTCTTCCCTGCCCACCCTGACCCCACCTTTGCATGTCTGTTTAACCTGTTAGCTTATAGTCTGTCTTCTTTGTCTTGGGAGGTTGACTTTTTATCAGAGATGGTGACTCCACTTTCTGTATATAGAGCTGAAATCTAGAGAAAGCAGGGTAGATTGTGAGAGAGGAGAATGGAGGGGAAGGTAGAGTCACAGGACAAAGAAGACAGAGTGCTTCCCACATTGAGAATCACTGGTGAGGGTTTACTCCTTCAGGGACAGTGTCAGGGATGAGCTCAGGTCATTATGAATAGGTTATGGGAGTGGCTGCCAGATGGTCTCAAAGGTGGATGGAAAGCCAGCCAGCCAGGACTTAGGTCTCTTTATGTTTATTGTCTCCTGTGGCCCTGAGTCAGTATGTGCCTTTGGCGAGTCTTTACAGCTCTGCTTTAGTTTCTCCAGCTCTAAGACAGGAGTGTAGGAATAAATTGTAAGGTTGTGGTAGGCTGGCTTAGTCTTTGTAACTGAGGGTCCTCAGAGCAAGAAAGCTCTTACAGGACCAAATATTATTGCTGTCATCATTAGTAGTGCAATGTCATCATCATGCCATTCCTGTTCAAGACTAACAGTGAGCCAGTAGTTGTGTTCATCAGCATGCAGACTATATGAGACTCTCTTTCCCATGCATTCACATATGATGTTGTGGGTGGAGTTTGCTTATACCAGCTAGGTGCCAGTTTTTAACTGGGAGTACTGCCATGGGAATTGGTCTGATATCAAGTGGTTGGCTCTGATTCACTGGAGCCACCAGCACTCGTTTGCCATCTATGACCCTGGTTGCTTGTCTCAGCAATCCTGTATCAGCATTATTTTTCTTAGAGTAGGTCTGTCTTACTCTCTGCTGCAGGATAGAGGTAGTGTCTGCCCTCCTGCTAGGTTTAGTCCAAGCTCTAAAGGTCTACATCTTTCCCTAGGACTCTTGTTTGCTAGGTTCCCATTTACCCTGGTTAGGAAAGGAAAAGGGTAGTTTCCATTCACTCCCCAGTGTTCTCCCTCTCTGATACCTGGAGGCAGTTCATCTTGACTTGTAAAATCCCATGAGCAAGTCCTTCCAGGACCTAGGAGCCTCTGGGACTCCTGCCCTGCAGCTGTAACGCCCTCCTCAAGACCCAGATGCCACTTTCCCTTGCTCCCCACTCTCTTTCCTCTCCCAATGAGCTACCTTTTGCACTTCCACTAGAATGCCAGGCAGGCTGGGCCCCCAAAGGCTCCTTTTTCAAAACCTCTGGAAGCCGCGATTGAATGTGCCATGACCCTCTCCCTCTCTGGATGGCACCATCATTGAAGCTGGCGTCATCGGAGTCTCTTGTTCTGTTGGCGTGCCACCTGGAAGACCCTTCTGTCCTGGACAAGAGGAACGGAAGAGCATGTTATGCTTTGAGAACAGGCTGACAGCAGCAGCTACAACAACAGCTGAGATCACAAATAAATGGTGCTAAACCAGCTTGTCTCATGCTCTTGCTCTTTATGGTGCATCAAGATGTGGCCTTTGGATTGACTGTCAACCATTTTCAAGGGATGGCACACAGACTTCTCCATGCAGGGCCATTCAGGGAATGCAGCTTTATATCCACAAGCCTATTGTGTAGTCATATGGTACCTTATTCCTGGACTTGTGCGGTCTGACATAATGAGGTGACATCTAGCTCTCAAAGTAAGCCCCTACTGCCTGGTGCTCAAGTGTACTCATTTCCATCCAGTTAGACCGATGGCTGGCCCAGATTGGTGGCTGAGTTCAGGTCCAGCCTGAAAGTCTCTTGAGGCTGAAAAGGGGGGTATTCTTAGCTTTTCTTTGCTAACTTCCATTTGCCTTTAGTTCATAGAAATCTCTTGCTTGGAGCTAAAACCCTGCTTCTGTCTGTCTGTGGCCGTACATAATACTTTTTGCTTCGTGCTAATGGGATGTTCTCTATGGTGCCAGAGCTGCTTGGCAGCCTCCTCCCTTTCCTTGCAGAGTAGATTGTCTTCCTCTTTAGTAGTCTTGCTTGGTGAGAGCCCTTCCATCCTCCCAACCCAGGGTTGCTATGCCAGGTCTAAGGAGAGAGGTGCCTTCATCTTGGGGGACTTTGCCCCTGAGGTCATCTGAATGTACACTGGCCTTGTGAGTACTATGGCTTTGCTTATGTGTGCGTGCAGCTTGGCTTTCAGGCCCTTAACCTGCATGGAAAGTTTCAGCAAGCTTTGTTAGCTACCCCCATAACTAAACACTAATAAGCATTTTTGTGAACTCTGGGTTGCTTGAGTGGGAGGTAACTACAAGATTGAGTTCTCCAGAGTGCCTCATCCAATCTAGAAGCAGCACACTCCTTAATACCAGCTGGCTGACTTAACCCCAGTCTTTGTGTGGCCCAGGACTCCACAAAACACATAGTGAGACCTTAGGCTCCATGTTCTGGGAATGTCCATGCCACTGCTGCTTTACCACATTCTCCAAATTGGCTAAAATGTCTAGAAAAAGAGATTTGCTGGAATGCAGAAAGACAAGTGTTGAACACTGGTCAAACATTGGCTTTCTTGGTCCTTCTGCCTTATCTTTCACTGTGAAGTATGTGTGCATTGTAGCCGCACCAGCGAATAAACTTGATGTCACTGTCCAGAGTTAGAGTCTATCAGCAGCAGACTGAGCTGAGACCCCTTCAGACCCTGGCCACATACGGGAGGTCTGCAGTGCTCCTGCCTTGATCTGTTCCTTGTGGCTTTTGGTTGAGCCAGTGAACAGCATCTGCTGAGACTTGAGGAGGCCAGCAGTAATGGTTGGCTCCCAAGTGCTCTGGAGATGAGGACTGTTAATAGTGAGGGGCATGTTTTTAGGAGTTACTCAGCTTCTTCACTCAAGCATCCCTCCAGCTTGCTGTGTTCAGCCAGTTTCTAGTGTCCATTACTTGTTTGTCTTTCCAGCCTTCCCTGGTCACCCTGCCTGTTTCCTGCAGCATCCTTGAGTGAACCAGGAAGTATTCATTACCCCACAGACAGGCTACTTTTGCTTGGTCCTTGTGCTGCTGACTATCCCTAAGAAGGACAGAGCTTACTCACTGTGTTTGCATCAGGTCACAGCTCTGAAACTTGCCATGTAGTCCACACTGGCCCCCCACCTTCACATCAGAGTGCTGGGATTAGAGGTGTGTACCACCATGCCCAGATTGTGGTTCCTCTTAATGAAGCAGATTTGAGTTTTCATAGGTTTGGGTCATTACATCAAATGGCTCACTGCATCCTCTACTTGAGAAAACTCATAACACAGCCAGAATTCTGGGGCCACCAGGGTACTGCTCTCACAAAGGTTGTTAACACAGCAGTGTCTTGTGAAAAAATTGCTTATTGGAGTTGCCTCACTTGATTCCTTGTGCATCTGGTCTGGAATAGTAAAAGAGCCCTCTTCCCATAGTGGAGTGCAGTGCTGGAGAAGACTGGTGGGATTTCTCTGCAGAGTAAGGAAGGAGGACAGAGACAGGCCAGATGTGCAGACTTCCTTCACCTAGTCTGGCTGTCATTATATTTCAGCATTGAACTTTAATGTGCAGAAGAGGACCAGCCCACTCACTATAACCTAGTTCACTCAATAACCTGGTGATACTGGGTCGTTTTATTTTAGCTTAACAGCTGCCTAACCTTGCATTGTGCACTATACCCAGGTTAGCAGGTGGCTGAACCCCTTTCTAGGTGTTGAGGGCTGGCTGAGTAGGCTTTGGGCAGTGATAGGGAAGCATGGAAGTACACATAAATGAATCCCCCAGTTCTGAGAATTTGCTTTCTGGTAAGTGAGATGGGATCATTTGACCTTACAGGGTTATTTGCTGCTGTTACTGGGATCTGCTCAGAATTCTCAGTAGGCTTTATTAATCTCTGGTTTGTTTCTCCTTAGATGCTTTTCAAAGCATGGTAGTCTCTAGTATAACTTCCTCTTTAAAGAAGGAAGGTTTGCTGTTACCTCATGTACTTGGGATGCCACCGGAAGGGAAAGTAACTAGGAATTCACACCGGGTTGGCCTTTGAAAATAAGACCAAGTGTACCAAAGTTTGTGGCCAAGTGCTGTATTTACTCAGTCTTCATGTCTGAGTTTAGGGAACAAGAGGTCAGTTTATTCTGGAGTGGACTAGAAGATTTCTGGAGCCCATGTTTTTTCCAGATCTTCACCCAGTGATGTATTTTAGGCAGGTGTAGTAGGGAAGGACCCTTCTGAAACAAAAGGGTGAATGAGATCAACTTCAGCCCTGCTATGTCATTCCTTGTTTACCTCTAAGTTATTTAAAGTAGAAGTTAAATCTTGGTGTTAGAGAATTCCCCAGGCCATTGTATAAGCGCTGAATTGAGGGTGAAGAGTTAAGCTGTCTCCAACATCACTTAGGAATTTAGAGTACAACTCATCACTGTCTCTCCAGAAAGCTTGGGAGCTGACAGAATCTGTCATACTTCTTAAAGAGGCTTAGATTTTTCTTTGAGTCAGTTGTCATAAACTAGTAGCTTTGGTAATATTTTGGGGGGAAAACATTAAAAAAAAAATGCTATTTTGCAGAGGGAAAATATTGATGAAAGTGGGACAAACATTACCTAATCCTTAATTAATAATTTTACTTATTTTGAGACATGGTCTCACAATGTGGCCCTGGGCATCCTGGAACTTACTATGCAGACCAGGATGGCTTCAAACACAGAGATCCGCCTGCCTGTTTCCCAAGCACTAAAATTAAAGGTGTGTTTCACCTTGCCCTTTTTTTAAAACACAAAAGCCACCTATAGTGACTGATAATGAAATATATTTTAGTACTTAAAATACTAAATGTGCAGTGAGAGGCATGATATATTGTCATTCAGTGCTGTTACTACCTTAAACCAAGAAAAGAATAATTGCCTGGCCTGGTGGTACAAGCCTTTAATCCCAGCATTAGGAAAGCAGATGAGGCAGATCTCTTTGAGTTTGAGGCTAGCAAATTCTAGACTGGCACGAAGTTTGATATATAGTGCCTAGGACAATCACTGCTTTCAAACTGAAAAGTGGGTAGGACAAAAATTTGAGAGAAGGTGGGGTGGTGTCAAATTCCAGAACACTGAGGAACTGATTTTCTCCTTTCATACAGCAGCCACCGATGGCCAGTCTGAGCTGTGAGTGTGCGTACTCCCTCCACTCACACTTCTAGTCACATTTCTAGATTATGTTCATCAACATTGTATTAATTGGCATGAAGTTATAATGAGCTCTGTTAACTGCAAGTGTTAGCTGCCGTGACCCACACATCTTAAATCTAAAGATAGGGCCTACAAGGGCATTTTTAGAAGCAGATAGAATCCGATATATGTAGCATCTCAAGTCTAGGAAGGTTAGAAGGTTAGAAAGGTGAGAGCAGGAACCGTGACATTTAACTAGGTTGCATCTTAAGACACAGTGCTAGTGGACCCTTGGCTTTACCCTCAGGGTCAAAGAAGAAAGGTGGCTTCCCTTACCTGTTCCTCGGACCCAGTGCAGCAAAGGCAAGAACTATTGCCCTTTGCAAGATGGAAGTGTTTGTGGGCTTGGCTGAGCTTCAGCTCTGACCTCATTGGCAAGCCCTCAAGGGAATAGTGAAGACTAGACTTCCTAAGTAAAGCAAGCCGAAAAGCCAGCTGCCTGCCGCCTAAGAAGAAAGCCTGCTGGGAACCTCACCACTCTACCAAGCTCCCTGTGTCTTCAGTCAGCATGGAGGGCATCGAAATGGGAGGTGGGGTGATGGTGTCTGCTCTGTTCAAAGCGTTTGATCTGAATGTGCTATTGTTTTGTTTTGTTTTTTTTGTCTCTGGTTTACCAGGGCCTGGGAGGAGTTTCATGGCCTGGTGAACAGCAGCGGCCGCTGATCGGACGCTCCCCCTCTGTCTCTCACACTCAGGGTAGGGCCTTGTCTACCTTCTCTGTAACCCGTAACATATCTCTCAGCCGTAGGAGCCCCCTCCCCCAAGGGATGTCCTCTTCCCATTTGCCTGCAGCCTTGCCTCTGCCAGCATTACACCTCAGGGAAACAAGGCATTCTAAACCCTGTCTCCCTAGGTCCCGTGTCTCAGTGTGAGCCCTGTATAGGTTACCAGACTACACACTTCTCTCCCATTTGGCTCTGTGCACCAACATATCTGAGATCACTTTAGATGCTAACATTTAATGAGAGAAAATACGCACCATATCTTCCTGTTTTGTGCAGATATGGCCATTTTTAAGCCGTCTCCAAATGTTCTGTGGCCAAGGACAGTTCCATAGATCCTCTATGGGTAGGTGAGAGGTATGTCTCTGGTTTTTGCCTGTCAGTTGTGAGGAAACAATACTGTAAATTTGGTTTCCATGATGAAAGTCAACAGACAGGTGAATTTCAGGGCTACATGAGAGACCATGGTGACGACATAGATGGCTCCAAAGTAGGGAAGGCGGAGCCAACTCCAGCATCTACCTGCCTGAATATTTGCAGTTCATCAAGAGCGTGTCTAATCTGTCTCTAGCAGAGGAAACTGGTTAAGTGTAGCTGAAGGAGAGGAGTAGTTCCCTCGATGAGAGCCTCCTAGACATCAGGCACCATGAGCCTCTGTGGTAGCTGCTTCAGGAGCCCCCCTTGCCGCAGGAAGGTTTTCCAGAAAAGGAGACCTGCCACCCTCAGATGAGCTAGAAGAGGTGACACTAAGGAATAGAAGCAGATGGCGGCAAGTCTGGGTGCTGGGTGGTCCACTGTGACCTAGGATGACCAGTTACAGGGTTCCTGAAAGAGGTGTTTTTTAAGTAGGAGGTGGGTAGGGTGTGTGTGTGTATACAACACCTAGGCTGTCTGCCTTAACTTCTATCTTGTTTGAGGCAGGGTCTCTTTGTTATTTACTACTGTATACCCCAAGCTAGCTAGCTGGTCCAAGAGCTTGCCCTGACTGCCTTTATTATAGGAGCATAGGGATTACAGACGTGCACCATCCTGCTTGGCTTTTTATGGGTCCTGGGAATTCAGACTCAAGTTCTTACGTTTGTACAGCAAGTACTTTGACCACTAAGCTATCTCCCCAGCTCTTGTTTTTGTTTTTATTTTTGTTTTGAGATAGCTCACGGGTAGCCCAGGCTGGCCTTGAACTCACTGTGTATAGTTGAGATAACCTGAATCCCTGATCTTCCTGCCTGCACTTCCTGAGGGCTTGGATTATAGGAATGAGCCACCACACTGAGCTCCCTCTCCCCACCCCAACTTAATAGTTTGATTTTGTTATAAATTAAGTTTTGGCCAGGCATAGTAATTCACATCTAGACTCTCAGCAATGAGAAAGCTGAGACAGGAGGATTGATTGATTGCTAAGCGTTTGAGACCAGCCTGACCTACATGGTGAGGCCAAGGCCTACTTGGGCTATGTTGCAGTCTTGTGTGTCCTCCCCTGCCTCCAGCCCTGAAGAAAAACAAAAACAAGAAAACTTTAAACTAGAAACTTTAAATGACTTCTTCCTTAGCAGACACTAAATTCTTCCAAATAAAATACCTTTGACTTGTTTGGAGAAGTCATACCCTTGTATAGTTGCCACTGTGTAGTCTGTTTGCAATTTTTCCTTGTCTTTTTTATGCACTTGATAGTTTAGGTGTCCTTGAAGTATGGGCTTAGGAATCTGTGAGGACCATTCCAATTTAAATTCAAAAAAAGCCACTGCAATACCTTAAGCTTAAAAAGACCTCATATTCCACCTCTACTGATTGGGTCTTGCTTTCACTGAGAGAGGTGTTCTAAGATGTAGACACCTGCCATGTGACATCTTAGCCTCCTGTTCCTTTCTTGTTTGTTGTTAAAGAAATGATAGAAAAAAATCTGTTTAGATAATCCTAGTTGGGCAGGGTGGTACACACCTATAGTCCCAACATGGCAGGTGCAGAGGCAGAAGGCTTACTGAAAAGGCCAGGGTGAGCCACATAATATAATCCTTGCCCCCACTCCAAAGTAATGAAGATGGTGACTCATGCATACACCCCTAGCACTTTCAAGGTAGAAGCAAGGGGATTGGGGTTCAAGGTCATTTTCTCTTACAGAGCCAGCTCAAAACAAACCCGTGTTTTGTGAAATCCTGGCTCAAAACAAAAAACAACAAAAAAAAACAAAACCATACATGCATTCATCTTCTGATATTTTTTTCGCCACATTACTTGCTGTTTTTTTTTTTTTGTTTACACATCCTAAGGCAACTTTCTTTAACTTTTATTATGGAGCCATGGCTTAAAAGTACACTGAGTTGATGAGAAGACCCTAATTACCTGATACCTGGGCTGGTATGGACAGAACAAGAGTGTGTTGTTGGTCAGGGCAGCTGTCATGGTTGTTTAGTAAGACATGAGATTGAATTTCACTCCCATTGAACCTTGGAAGATTTTACAGCTGTGCTGGAACTCAGGAAAAGAGGAAAAAGGACAGAGCCACCTACCAGGGTGACCCACAGATAACCAGGGGTGGGTGAGGTGAGCACCTATTCCAAGCCACTGAGCAGAGCAGAGACTAGGGTGGGCACAGGTGCAGATACAGACATTTGCAGAGGAAGGCATGCTTCTGAGGCATTGCTGTGCCCCTCTCTCCAGGGGCATTCACCTTGCCTTAGCCCATTGTTCCCAGAGTTAGAGCTTGAGCTAAAAAGTGACTGTTTTGAAGCAAAAAAATTAGAAAGTCATTTGAGTGTACTGACAATAGGAATATATGAATTTAGGAACCAGTTTGGATGGGGCTCTCTGGTGTTTCTGAGATCTCATCAAGCTAACATAACTTACCGTTCAGAAGGGTTCTACAGTTTCCTCTCGGGCTGTGTCCTATATGCTCAGGTGTACCCTGAGCAAAACCCAGCACCACCACATCATGGCTAGGGGGCTAATTGCTAGTGTTTTGTTGCTGTCCGGGTGGTTGGTTGGTTTGATTTGTTGTTGGGGTTTGGTTTGTTTTCTTTTTTTGGTGGTAGTGGTTTGTTTTAAAAGAACAGAAGCACAGAGGTGTGATGGCATTCAAGGACTGAGGCAGGAGAATCACAAGTTTAAGGCCAGCCAAGTCTATATAGCAAGTTTAGTTTAGCAAGGATCACACAGAGAGATCCTGTACCCACAGCAAACAAAGATAAAGAAAAGGACAAGGGCAGGAGAAGCCACTGACAGCCTCTGCCACTTCCTGTCTACTGTCTTTATTCCCTTGCCACTTAACTTCTCTGTCTGTAGCTAGGACCTGGCTAAATGTAATTCTTAGTCTAGGGGAAAACATGTCTCAGACTAAATTTTGCATTAAATGTTCTAATCATTCTGCTCTTAGAACGACTGGTCTACAGCCATAGGTCCTTGCCACTGTCTGTCTGCTGAATTCAGCCTGTCTTGGCAGATCCTGCCACCTCCCTTCATTGCTCTTTGTTTTCCTGTTTGCAAATGGGCCTTTTGCATTGGTCGGACTGCTCAGGTTTTCTTACTAGAAAGAGGCTCCTGATGGGAAGTAACTAGAATTAATGCCTGATTGTGAAGGGAAGTGGAGCAGAGCTCTGCAGGGGACCTGCACAGAGTGAAGGCCACTTCTGGCCCAGCCCCAGCCCCCAGCACTGGCCAGTATTTACTTGAGTTCCTCTTCCTGACCCTGTGGCTGTGCTGGATCCAGAGACTCAGCTACCCACCTCCTTATCCAGGAGACAGACTCCTGCTTCTCTTCCTCAGCTGGAAGTTCCTGCTGCCCTGCTCCTCTGTTCGTCCTTCGTCCTTCTCACAAGAGCAGGCTTGTTGCTGCCCAGCCTTCTCTGGGCACAGAGGTGGTGTTGAGATGGACAGAGTAAACTTCCTGTGGTCACTTGAGCAGACTTAGTGACATCACACACCAGCTAAGAGCAGAAAGAACCCTTGAACATCTCTTCCTCCAACTTTCCTTTGTGGTACTAGGAATATTCCTTAGCATCTTTTGCTGGCCTCTTGTGACAACTCAGAGGAATCTATCATTTTGTGTACTATTTAAAAAGATGGTTGTCAGTTAGCCTTGTGTTCAGCTCCTTAAGTGAAAACAGTTGATAAGTGAGCCAGAGTCATATGTGTCAGTTAAAGAATGGCCAGTGGACTTTGGAAATCATGTCCAAGTTTCTTCCCAGTTCCCCTAGGGTAGTTGACCCATCTCCTGGCATACAGAACAGTTGGTACTCAGTTATAGGGCTCTTGGTCACAGTCAGCTTGCTTCCAGTAGCCTGTCGCAGTAGGGAACTGCCATGTGGCTGCCTGAGCATACTCCCCCTCATTGTTTATTTACTCTGAACCCGTTGTCATAGCCCAGTTAAATGTAGCAGTGTTAAAAAAAGATCAGTTAAGGCCACAGCGCTACAGTGACCCTTTAAAATGGAAGAGGAATTGACTTCAGAGTTTCTGGTACATTTAAACCCAAAGCCCTGGGTTAGGGCAGCAGCTCATTGGACCTTAAAGTCCCTGCCAGGGAAATGCATGGGATTTTGAGATTCAGGTGATATGAGCTGTTGAACTGTGGCTGAGTTTCTAATATGAGATGGTCAGGGCTGCCTGTGCCTGCTGGAAAGCACGGAAGACACTGGAACCACATCCCATGTCTGTCTTTCAGGAAAAGCTTTTCTGCTGGTAGCAGGGTTCATCTAGTGGAGAGGCAGTTCTGTGTTAAACTGGGCTGCGGTGGGTGGGGTTGGATTTGTTTATTGCATGGTCTGGTTGTGTCTTCCGCCTCCAGGTTTTACCTGCCCACTTGCCATTGGGTCGTTGTTGTCCTACCTTAGGTGACTTCCTGTGTTTCGGAGTTTCTAAAAGTATTATATCCAGGCAAATGAATACAAGGTAGCTGTTGTTGATCTTGGATATGTTTCCATAGTAGCTGAAAGCTTCTCTCCTTTTCTCTTTAAAGCTGCAGTGTCCCATTGTGAGAATGTGCATGCATAAATATTTCACCGGCATGCATTGATTTTCCAAGCCAACAGCCTAGAAGATTTTGTGAGGACTTGGAAGACAGGCTGCCATTTGGTGTTAGACTGGCATGGAAGGGCTGGGTATAGAGAGCTGGTTAAGTCCTTTCCCTCCCCTGACCCCCCCCCCCGCGAGCGCGTGCGTGCGTGCGTGCGTGCGTGTGTGTGTGTGTGTGTGTGTGTGTGTGTGTGTTTGTATCTAGATGACCCACATTGACCCACATATTGAATACTCTTATTTTCTCTCATTTTCTCTTTCAGGGACAATTCAAGCTTTCGAAATACAAAAATCACATTGTGAAAGTGCACAAGCTGGCAATAATCCTTTTCTGTTTGTGTGTTTGTCTGACATGGATGCGAGGCTCAGGCAGTCCTTCTGTCTGCTCACTGAAGGGGTGTACCTGGGCCATGCACTCCCCTTCTGCACTCGTCCCTGGAAGACGACTCTGCTAGACACCTTCCAGCACTGCTGACTTTATAACGAAGACAAATGGGGATGTGACTTTGTAATAGACAAACAATTTTGAATGGGGTTCTGTACAAGAGTACAGCTGTTTTCTTGCTGTGTGCTATCCACATGCCACTTGGCACCCTGCTGTGCAAAGGACTTGATTACCGACCACATGTATGTGCCCTGTGCTGGGTCCGAGCTGAGCGTTATCAGTATTATGAATGCTTGCACATCCAGGAGCAGCCTCTGCTTAGAGTTGAAGAGAACCAAATGCCTCTTCTAGCTCTACTGTTAAGTTATTGTGTGTTCCTCTCCCCCAAGCCCACCACTCTGAACCTGTGTTAGGATGTGATGACAGAAGCCTAGGATCCTGTGTCCTTTGCGCCTTACACCTCCAGTTCCCTCCAGTGGGACTCTCCTTCCTAGGCACTGTGGCACTTAAATGGTGATCCCAGGCAGCAGTGGTTTTGCTGGTGAAACCTAAGGTATCTACCCTGTAAGAGAAGCTGGAGAAGAATGCAGTTCAATCAGAAGCTAGGTTACAGTGCAGATCCCACGTGTGGGGCTGGAGTTGAGGGCAGTGACTGAAACGAGCCTCCCATAGGAGCGGGACTTGTGTGCTGAGCATGGTCTGTGGGGCTTGAATGTCCCTCATGGAGGAGGAAGTGACAGTTGGTTAGTGCTACATTAACACTCTGTGTAGATTCTTCAGATGAAATGGACATCTGAAGAAATGGATGGTTTCATTTGCTGGCTGTGTCTGCTGTGATTGGAAAAGACTTTTGGTCCTCGTTGCCTGAATGTAAACAAATTGTCCAGATCCCTGATGCCCAGAAGTCTCTTGCAGGCATGTCCTCATCAGAGAAGCTGGGTGAAGCCAGAGAGTTCAAAAGAGCACCCAAAATCAAGGAAGAAATGGACAGCTACAGCAGCTTCTACTGGGCTCTTGTGAGCCAAGATGGCAGTACCTTAAATTAAGGCCTCTCTTTAAAGCATATCCCTGAAGCTTCCAGGTTCTCAGCCATGGGTCTCAGGAATTGGGAATGTAACAGTGTCTCCTTGTGTCCATCCTACTCTCTTCCAGCTTTCCAGCTTTTAAGCTCCCTGAGTCGCTGCTGTCTGGGGACACCTTTTCTTGAAAGAGCAGAGTGCTTGGCTGGAGAGGGGAGGTCTTTCTGCTGTGGGTGAAGCCATCTGAGAAGGATATCCAGCAGCGATTGAAATGACAGGAATCTGAAGAATGCCTTCTGGGGTGGTTGTGAAGGGCTCAGGCAAAACCAGAGCATCATTGGCTGCCAAGGAGGCAAAGGCTGCCTCTGGAGGCTCGGCTAATGCAGGGGGCTCAGGTCACCTCAAAAATCCCAAAGAGCAGACATTTGGACATGCCTTCCTTTGGGCATCTTTCTTTTGTGTGTGTGTGTGTGTGTGTGTGTGTGTGTGTGTGTGTGTGTGTGTTTGTGTTCGCACGTACATGTGTAGTGTGTTTATGAGTGAGGCCTGTGTTAGGCCTAGTGGTTAGATGTTCTGTTTTGCCTTTATTTTTCAATCTCATTTGTTCAAACATTTGAATCTCCTATGTTTTCTAGAGCTGCTTATCTTTTCCCATCCTCTTGGTCATTATAGTATTTGACAGTTGGGTTTTTCCCCTCCTATCCAAAGTGTGCCAACCCTGCTCCCCTTAGTGAGGGGTTCTCGCCGTCAGGTAGCATCTTCCCCCAGTGTTCTTCAGGTGCTCTGCCTAACAGCTAGAAAGGGAAACTGATTGATCGGTTTACCCATGCCACCCATTCTTTGCAAACTAGCTGGGGAAGTCTCTCCATTTATTTTGACTCCATGGGCCTCTATATGCTGAGATACCACATGGTTATGATTATGGTATCATCGGTTCTCAAACCAGGTAGAGGTCTCCGGAGCCAGTATGACCCAGCAGGATAGGTTGCTGCTAGGGAAGGGAGAGTCATGTTCTGGCTGTTCTCCTTCTGCCTTCATGGCCCCACTCCTCTCTGAAGAGAGCCTTTCTCTTTGTCCTTTTGTTTGTGTGTGTGTGTGTGTGTTTTCCCTGTGACACTGGCAGTGGCAATACTTTTTCATCCAGAGAAAAGCTTGTCAGTGCTCCAAGAATGAATTTCCAAGTACTTGCTGGAGGGGAAGGAGCAGGGGCTGCGACAGTGACGTGGTGTTGCACTTTGAGAGGAGTATCTACTGCAGTAATAAATGGAAAGGGTCAGCAGGAGTGGGTGTGGACTTGTTCATACGAGGGAAGTGGGGACTGTGGGTGGGTGGGGTAGCTCTACCCTGGTCTCCATTTGCAGCGTATTCCAGAACTTTGTGTGATGGTGCAGAGGATGCAGACAACACTGACACCGATTGAGTGTGAAAATAGTCTGGATTGCTTTTTGTTGTTGTTTGAGAGACAGTTCCATGTAGCCTAGGCTGTCCTCAAACTCGGTAGAGGTTGGCTCTGAACTTTTGAGTCTCCTGTCTCTATCTTCCAAATGCTGGGAGTTACAGGCATGTGCCATCATTTCCTGGTCAGTTTATGCATGCTGCGGATTGAGGCCAGGGCTTCATGCATGCTAGTCAAGTATTCTTCAGCTGAGCCATATCTCCAGCCCTCAGGTCGCCATAATTCATTTTTACATATTTGTTACTGTTTTGTTGGGCAGGGTCTCACCTTATTGAACGGGCTGACCTGAATTTACCATGAACCTCATGCCTCTGGTTCTTTAGTGCTGGGATTAAAGGTGTGTCCAGCCTCGATTTACATATTTAACATCCAAAGAATGCTTATGGTTAATCCTCAACTGAGGGTATGGAATACTTGAGTGAAGAAAGAAAGAAATTCAAAAAACCTAGGAGATGATAGGATCCAACACTAGCCCCATAGAAATGGGGTGGAAGCAGGGAAACTTGGTTGCATTTTCTGTAGGGCAGCAGTTTCAGCTGAACTGCACAGGGCTATTCAGTGCTACAAAAGATTTAAGTGTTTCTGAGGCCTGGAGGAGGGGCTAGAGCAAAGGTTATAAATGCCTATGCAGCTGCTAGTGGAAAAGTGTTGTAGGAAAGCCCCCTACAGGGAGGAGGCCTTTAGGTTTCAGTAAACCTTCTGGAGCATTTGAGCTGTCAAAATGAAGAGGCTGGCAGGGCCTGGGAGGAACAGCAGCAAACAGATCACCTATGGGATTTGCTAGGGTCCTGAGTAGCAATTGTAAGGGTAGGTCAGATGGTTTTTGTGGGTGGGGAAATTGAAGGCAGGGTTTCTCTGTAGCCCTGGCTGGCCTGGAACTCACTCTGTAAACCAGGCTGGCCTTGAACTCAAGAGTTCACCTGCCTCTGCTTCCCTAGTACTGGGATTAAAGGTGTGTGCCACCACCACCCCTCTGACCAGATAGCTTCTGAAGCTTCACCCAGCTATTGTATTTGAGAGTTATTGAATGGACTTGCTGGGGGCTAGAGATGGCTCAGCAATTAAGAGCACTGCCTGACCTTCCAAAGGTCCTGAGTTCAATTCCCAGCAACCACATGGTGGCTCACAGCCATCTGCAATGAGATCTGGTGCCCTCTTCTGGTCTGCAGTCGTACAGTTGCAGGCAGAACACTGTATGTGTAAATATTTTTTTAAAAAATGGACTTGCCACCTTGTAAGTACAGTAGTATCAGACAGATGGCATCAGCTGGTAAATTGAGTTCCAACAACCAATCAGCCTGCCAGTTCGGCTAAGAATATACTAAGTTTCTAGTTCTCTGGCCAGCTTTTCCTAACTGCCTCAGCCAGGAAGAGGTAGAAAGGGGTGATGTGTGCCTCTTGTAAGCCCAGCAGGAAGTCTGAAAGGCACCAGCAGGAAGTCTCAAAGGCACTGGACAACAGGAAACAGCCTCAGATCTCAGGAGCACCAGCACCTGTCACACCCCCATCATCCTCCCAGACAGCGTAGACCTAGGGCTCACATTCACTGCCTGCTCTGGCTGCCCACAGGCAGGACTGCCCTTTCTGCAAGCTTCGCTGCTCACCAGACTGCCCAGAACCAGCACTCCACCTCCCCAACCCCCACCCCCGCCACACACACACACACACACACAAGGTTTGTCTCCCTTCTCTAAACAGCCTACTAGACTTTGGTTTTTTGTTTTTTGTTTTGTTTTTTAATTTGAGACAGGGTCTTGCAATGTAACCCAGGCTGACCTTGACTCTTATCTGTTTCAGCCTCCCAAGGGCTGTGATTCCAGGCATGAGCCACCATGTTAAACTGTAGCTCTTTTATTTCTTATTTTAAAAAACGGCATAGTGGCACATGCCTATAATCCCAGGACTCTGAAGACTGAGACAGGAGGGCCACAGATACAAGGAAAGCTTTGGCCACATAGCAAGACTGTCCTGGAGCAAAACAAAATTCCCAAGTTAGATAAACGATAGATCCACATAATGAGATATGATTCATCAATAAAGAGAAAAGTACTAAGCATAAAAAGATGTGGTTCCTCGAATGCCATTACAACGTCATGATGTCAGCTCCGAGAACTGCATTTCCCTCTGTTTTTTCTGTAAACCGTAAAGTGCCCCTTGGCAGAAAGCATATAGAAAAGTAGAATGCTTTTTTTAACAGTCCATGCTCTTACTCATTCAGAGGGATGTTTTTGTTTTGTTTTTTGTTTTACTTACTAATGGATAAATGTTACATTTAAATGCCTTGTCTATTGTGCATGTGTTTGTGAGTGCAAGAGTATGCGAATATAGAGGTCAGGACAACTTTTGGGTTTAGTTCTCTTTCCTCTGTGGACATTCACAAGAGCAGAGAACTACTCAAGTTCCAGGTGGCCAAGTCTGACTTGTCTCAAGTGCACAGTGGTGGAGGACAGCTCCTGGGCCACACCTTGAAAGTGAGGTGCCATTAGCCAGGAAGGAAAGGCTACTTCTGATCCATCCTGAAAGGCTTGAAAACAAGTCTTCAAAAGACCAGAGCAATTTCCAGGTGAAGGGTCTGCTTGCCATAAAAGCTCTGATGCTCTTTAAGCACACAGGATAGTCCACCAGCCAAAACCATCAATTTCACAATGTTTGATATCCAATAAAAATTTCTTGACATAGGAGGAAGTGGAGAATGACCTTTAGTCTGAAGAGCAAGCACTATAAATAGGTTTAACAAGGGAAAAGATACTAGAATTTTCCAAATTTCCATTTTAAATGTATCTCCAACTCACATTCCTTAGTGGAAATTGAAACTAGAATCCCTCTTGTCGTCGCTCCCCACCAAAAGTTGTCCTGACCTCTATGCTTGCATATACTCTTCACACATGCAGTGAGCTGTGGCTAGTGACAGTGGACCAGCCCTGCAGTTTGACCTTGTTAAAACTTACCACACCAGGCCCCCATGCTGATTCCAATGTGGCCTCCTCCAGAAAGCCCTCCCTGTCCTCCTGTGATGTGACAGGTACACCTGCACCGCCTGCAAGAAGCGCACTGGCTGCGGGAACAGATCGCTCAGTAGCTGCTCTCCGCAGTTTCTCTTCAGGCCAGGAACTGTGGCGCGGAGGGCGTCGCCTTCACCTTTGATGTGAGTCGTTCCCGGGGCATAAAAAGCAAAGTGCACCCGATGCTCTTGGCCTTTGTTAAAAGTCTACCTCTACCCTCCTTGGTCCAGGTTGGTTTCAGTCCCTTCCCCACCGTGCCCGCGATCATGCCCAGATTTCTCCACTAGGGGGCGCTCCGAGATCCCAATTCCCCCAGCGCAGCCGGTCTGCAATCTTAAAAGTCTGTGTCTGCTCAGGCTGGTCTTCTAGAGAGAATCTGAAAATGAACAGTCTGGAAAGCCTGCGAGACTCGTGCAACCTCTTGCGATCTTCCAGGCCTAGTGAAATCTGCGATGGATCTTAGCTGTCCAGGAATGAGGCGGCTTCCTTACCTTAATCCTCTGCAGTCGAGGCCGGGTCGCCTAGGGAAATGGGGGGACAAGGCTGGTATGGGTACAGCGCTGGGCAAAGGCTGCGCCTGCATCCGCACTGACCCTGGACTTCAAAGCAAGGAAGCGCCAGGTCGCTCCATTTTCACAGAGGCAGGCCCTTTTGGAAACTTTCTCCTCTTCCTTCTGCCCCCCCCCCCCCCCCACACACACACCTCGGTCCTTCCGCTCCAAGTCTCCTTTCTTTTGATCTAACTCACTAACTGGTAGAAGATGACCTTGAACTCCCAGTCATTCTCATTCCACCTCCCAAGTGTTGAGATGGCAGGTGTGTGCCACCACTCTAGAATGGTATTTTTGACTATTAATTTTTAAAAAAACTATTAGTTTAATCTTTGGGGGGGGAGACGGGTGGTAGGAGGCAAACCTAGAGCTTCATTCGTGCTTGGCAAGTGATTTATTACAAATGACACTCCAGCACCCCGGAGTTGGTTGGTTTGTTTGTTTGTTTGATTTTGTGTATTTGGAACTGCAGGGTAACTGGGGAAAAGGCAGGGTGCACAATGACAACGACTCACGCATCCACACATCTCATTATCACGATGCCAGCACGTGGACACTGCATTGCTTGGACTTTTACTACATAAACATGACTGAGCTCTTCTGTTAAAAATCAGAGATTATCTTTCTGTTTGTTTTTATTTCTCGAGGCAGGGTTTCTCTGTGTAACAGCCCTGGCTGACCTGGAACTCACAGAGAGCTGCCCGTCTCTACCTCCAAAACGCTGGGATTAAAGGTGTGTGCCATCACTGCCCGGCGGGATTATCTACTTTTTAAAGATTTATTTTTACTTGTGTGTCTCTGTGTGTTCCGGTGCCTGAGGAAGCCAGAGAGGGCATTGGGTGCCCTGGAGCTGAGGTTACAGGCAGCTGTGTGGAGCCCTGATGTGGGAAAGCACTTAGTCAGCATGTGTCCAGCACTGCCACTTCCCACCTATTTTTAAATTATAAGTGCACATTCGGCAAATATATTCTGGTTTGTTTTTTATTTGGCACCAAACGGAAGGCTAAAATATTTGCTCTTCCACTAAGCTAAACCATCAGCTTCTGTAAACACAAGTGATGAAGGGAGCTAAGATTATGTGAAATATACTTTTTTTGAGACTGAGTAGTGTGGGCTGGTCTCAAACTCAAAATCCTTGCCTCAGTTTCCCAAGGGCTGGAATTATAAGCCCACCCCAGCACAAATTTTCGCTTCAACTGTTCTTGACTTTTCTCCTTGTTTTTTGTTTTTGTTTTTGTTCTTTTTCAGTACCCGTACAGTGGTAGACACTGTA